CCTTTCTCTGCCGAAGTCTCTTGGGCCAGCTCTCCCTTCCCTGCGTTCTCGAGCCATCGACAAGACCCTTCGGTGCTCTCCCTACTCTCTCTTTATCTTCCTCTTTCTCCGTTCACCTCGCCCTTAAACTCTCTCCTCCGTCATTCGCTTTCCTGCAGGCTCTCGTGAGCTAAATATAGCTAAGGCTGAGATATAAATAGAATAACCCCGCGGGCCAAGATGGCTGGGGTCAGCTCTTGCATCGTCGTCTTCGCCTTCTTATTCTTCTTCTTATTCTTACGCCTTTTCTCCTTCTTCCTCTTCGCCTTCCCAGCTGCTGATTTTTCTTCTGGTTTCTTTTGCACATGTTGGCTGCCCTGAGCTCACCAGGATTTACCTGTCCCCTTGGTGTTCGTACGGCTACTCCAAAGGCTTTAACACCTTCGTGTCCGCCCCGGGCAATTCCATTGGCCGACCTTAGACCGGAGAGGTCGGTTCCCCCGATAAGAGGTCAGCGACATGGGTCCTCGGTTGCTCACCACCCTTCACGGAGCCCGAGGTTTCGGCCGTTCGCGTGTTCTGGAGTTTTATTGCTCGCCGCGCTTGATCTTACGTAAAATAAATGCCGGCGCGTTTCGCGTAGTCCATGTGACCGCCACGTAAAAATTTGAATTCCGATCTCGTCGAACCTCCTCGGACGAGATTCGGAGTGAAACGAACGTGGACGGGCATAGCATGACGTAACCGAATGGAACGTCGGAAGAGCAGAAAGGGAGAAACGGTTAGATATTCCATTTTCGTAGGTTTTCGACTCGAAACTCGAATTCGTATCTTTTTCGACGTTCGAATCGGAAATGTTGCGTCGTCGTAGCTCTCTTGAGTACCGAGTTCCTGTCTAATCGGCCTAGATTGAACGGCGACCCACGTACGACCTACTGCTTTATACGGGGGATACGGTTCGCGGAATATCCTGCGTTTATCATTCTATACGAGAACTGGAGGTCGCAGGATCGGAACAGGAGAGACAGCAGAGGAGGAAGAAGAAGAAGGAGATGAAGAAAACGAGGAAGACGGCTCGAGGCTCCGTTCGACCCTGGCCAGGGCCGTATCGGCGGGATTAATGGCAGTGACATCCCGCTCGTGGCCAGATGAGATTCTCTGGCTCGGTCGCGAGAACGAGCAGGAGAAAGAAGAGGGGAAACGACGAGGAAAGCAAGCACGGCGAGAGGGACAAACGGGGAGAGAGTGAAGGAGAAAGAGAGAGGGGAGATCGACGAAAAAGAGGAGGAAGGAGAAGATGTCCAGAAGAAGAAGAAGAAGAAGAAGAAGAAGTCGACAACGACGAAGCATGGTGGAGGTGGAGGGCACCCGATGTGAGTCGAGTGCGTTGACCTTAGGATTCGATGCGCGTCCTTGAGGATACCAAGATGGCGGGTTTATGCAACCGGCCACAATGGTATCCGCTGCAGGCTGCGGATCGTCTCTCTCTCGTTGCGTTCTATTTGACGCACGACGCGATTCGACGTGGTTACATTCTCGGGGGACTCTCGTGTGTGCACA